GAACTGTTATATCATATTGAACCTTGTTAAAAATGCAACCATAAAGTTGAAAGAATTCATTAGTATTAAAGCTATCTATCTCTGAAAATCAGATAGGTTCTATAAGCTTTTATGAATAGGTAAAAAATCCATCTTCTTTTTATAAAAAACAAACAAGGTCGACAGTGTTTTTCTCAGCTGAGGGTTTTTTTAAAAAAAAACCCCCTCCACATCCAAATTTCACTCGTACAATATTACAAGCCACTATGTAAATTGTATAATCAAAAAATGATTCCAAACAATTATTGTTGAATTAGCGCAGATTACCTACAGTAATTACCTAATTGATGGTCCATAGAATTATGCAAGTTTGGAACTTCTTGCCGAGTTTTTTTTTGCCTAATGAAGCAAAGAGAGAATGGGGACCACATACAGTATGCCACTTTAACCGGAGGTCGGAAGTTTGGCACCTTCCAAGAAGCGCTCTAGAATGTGAGAAGACCCTTTTTTCAAGATGTGTCCACCGGCATCACATCTGCATCACATCTAGGAATGTTGGGCCCCATTATTACTACTCTTATAGTGCTTATAGAATGCATTCCAAAAAAAGTTCATAGAAAAAATCCTAAAGAAAGGAATAAATAAACCGTTCGACAAAGACACCGAGGCGCACTATTTTCATTCACTCATTCACATCTCATAAACAATGATATCACCAATCCAAAATGCTAAATTCACCTAGCCAAATTCGTGTTCACCGATTATTTCTACCGAATTAATTACCCTACGTCTAGAGTGGGCAAACGCAGAAAATAAATAATCTAGCGCTCATAGCTCATACGTTACTGGACAAAACTATGAATATTTGTATCCTACATCTGGCTATAATGAATGAGATTTTGGGGTCACATTTTGAATGAAGAAGCTAAAATATGCATCAAGAATATATGATTAGGAAGAAAGTGTCATTCTTATTCGGAACGTCATAATATGGCCAAGTCCGATCCTAGAATAGGTACTAATCAGGATGGATGTGCCATCTTCCTTCGGTAAGTAAAATCAGTCTGAAGAATGAAAAAAGTTTGTCCGAACACGAAATCAGCTAACTGATTTAAAAATATGCGTACCACGGGAGTCGGCAAAACATGAACTTTCCTTTTTACTCGGATCAAAGGAACATGGCACTCGCAAGAGGGTCAGTACGTATCTTACGTCCGCCGACACTCCCTTCCCCAACAGTCAGAGATGGTGGGTGGTACGATATACGTAATAGAGATCTGAGAATCCGAGGATGCTGTCTCGTTAGTGGCGATTGGGTTTCCCGAATCACGAACAATGTCACGAGATTCACGATACGCGTAACAAGCCGATTCGATTCATTTATGCAGTTGAACCAATTGGATCCAAAACTGGATTTGGTCAAAGACATTTATTGACCCTTTTATCACGTCCCGAATATTTGTCAATGTGACTCGTCGGCTTCAAGTTGATGCCAAACAATCCCAACAATCAACTTTCAAAGAATCTAGATTTAGTAAAATCGGCGTTAACGAAATCACCAATTTCGGCAGGAAGGAAAGGGTCGATGTATCATATTTAGGCGGATGGACAAACATAAAAGATTCTTCAGAATTATATCCAATGAACTTAGCAGCATGAAAGTGATATTAAAAGATTCTTCAGAGTTATATCCTACGAATTGTTTTATATTCTTTCGGATGTATTGATCGTGAGAATTCTATGTATTAATTAATTATCTGGTGAAGTGAAAAAAAAAAAAAAATTTTTTTTCTTGCTCACTTCTCCCATTGTCCCTTTCATTGTTCAACTCCTTATTCTGCATTTCTGGTGCGTGATCACGGACGAAAGCCTAATATCTAATCTACGAACTTTGCCGGTTCCAATGGGCAGGCTGCAGATGACAACGATGGATTCAAAAAAAAAAATCGAACCGAATGAGAATAACCGGTCGCATGTAAAATGTTTCCAATATTGGATATGAATGACGGGTGTGACTGTGTGTGCGTTAAAAGCATGCGGAAAGTCCTTGTTAATACAGCACAAAGGACAATACTCTGTTATACGTATCCTTCCTTTAATATCCTCACTCCTATCCATCAGATTATTTTCATCGCGATGCACGCCGAATTGCCGGTTTTCTCTTTAAATCAGAATTCGACTGCTGTATATATACTGTGTATACAATTTTTATTTACTCATTTTATTATCACGATTTCCCAAGTTTAACCAACCGGGACCAAACGGTGTCATCATGGGTGTTGCATTGTTGACAGAAATCTGATAGCAGATCAAATAATCGTCATGACCATGGTTCTCGCGCATCCATCTCCACAAAACAAACAGGTAACGGACAAACAGACACGTCAAGTGTCAAGTTCTTGGGTGAAATTAAATGATGGGAAGTTCATTCCATAATTGGTTTAACGAATTTCATTATCCTTGACAAAAATAACGATTCGCCCGGGATGATTCTTCCCACAATTATTGTTAATGAAAACAATGCAGACATTCATGAAGACAACAAATAAGCAAGTAAATTTTTAATAGATTAGATAAGTTTTCATTAATAGGGATGGATAGCCACTGTAACCGTCAATGTAAATCATCTGAATACCTTTTAATTTCTTGAACTGAATGTATTTCGAAGAATTTCATAATTCATTTCGTTTATACCGCATTTGATTTTCGTGCATGGCATTATTTTAATTCATATGCGATGTAAAAAAAAGAAAAGAAAATA